TTTTTTTTTTTGCCATGAAGGCAGTGAGCCCAATGTTCCTTTTCCTCTTCTCCTGTTCTCTTTGCCAGTGCAGATATGTGCCCTCTGCTCCCCTTATTTGGGACAGAGTGGCAGGAGGGCAGGCACCTCACTGGTCCCCTGTGAGCATCCCCAGTACAGAGCTGCTCTACACACAGGAGCCACGTGGCCCCTCAGTCCACCGTCTCCTGCAGTTTTGAAATGGAGGGCAGGGAAGTAAAAATGGTCACGGTGGGATGCGTGCTACACACCTGGCTTCCCCGAGGTGAAGGGAAGCACCCTTTACCTTCAAAGCATACTCGTAGGCACGGGGAAGTCACGGGGAAGTCACGGGGAGCGTGAGGGTGGGCGAGTACGTTACATTACGGTGTGTGTGGGTGTGTGTGTGTTCTGTGTGTTTTATCAGGCCAAAAAATGGTGGAAAATACTGTGTCGGGCGCCGAATGAAATTCAAGTCCTGCAACATGGAGCCGTGTCTCAAGCAGAAGCGCGACTTCCGCGATGAACAGTGCGCTCACTTTGACGGGAAGCACTTTAACATCAACGGTCTGCTCCCCACCGTGCGCTGGGTCCCCAAGTACAGCGGAAGTGAGCGCAGGGGCCCGGCCCGGGGTGGGTGGGGGTGGCTTCCCGGCTTCCGGTCACGTGCCGTGTTTCTCCTCTAGTTTTGATGAAAGACCGATGTAAGTTGTTCTGCAGAGTGGCAGGGAGCACAGCCTACTATCAACTCCGGGACAGAGTGGTGGACGGAACTCCCTGTGGCCAGGATACCAATGATATCTGTGTCCAGGGCCTTTGCCGGGTGAGTTCCAGGGTCTTTTCTTCACTGTGCTGCCCGCTGCTACCCGGGGGCTTGTGGCTTTCTTGACAGAATTAGCTGTCACTACTATTGGGCTGTTTTCTAGGCGTGGTTCTCCAAGTGGGCCATTCTTAGCATCAGCATCACCTGCTCTGGTGCACCTGGTGCCGGAGTTCGAGCACTGCTGCCCTAGATATTTCTTGACATTTTTCAGCCTCTGGCAGGGTCTTCACGGAACCCCCCAAAGATGAGCTTTACCGGTGTCCGTGGGCACACGTATCTGAATGCTGTGGTTAATCCCGAATGCTTCCTGACAGAAGTTCTTAGATTGAACAGCTGTGCTCTACCGAGAGGTCAGGAGGAAGACATGTCCTCGCTCAGATTTCTCTTCGTGATTTTAGCCACGATTGCTTCCACCTGAAACATGCCTTTTAATTATTCTTGGAAGATGAATTGAGACGTTTTTGGCAGATAGCAAAGCATCAGAGTAGGGATTTCTCAAGGGCTTCGCTGTTCTCACTGTCAGAATTCATTGCCAACCCAGCTAGACCAAGTGGATGACTTTGCTCCTTGCACGTGGTCCAGAAGGCAAACCAGAGTTCCTGACAGGAGCATCTGATCGAAAGCCTTGCCCACGGTGCATAGCAGCATGGCGGTTTCTCCTCCAAGATAGTTCACACAGAGGAACAAAATGGACAAGATGTGGGCACTCTTCTCTGGCCTTCTGTCATGGCTGCAGTCCCCCTGGACCTCCCTGTATTGCACTAGCTCTGTAGGTGAGCAAGCGGAGGGCTTCACGCTGGCCCCTGCAGTCATGCTGCGCCCTGCATCTCTGGCCAGCACTGAAGCACAGAGAATCACGCATACAGTCGCCTTTCCCTGCTTCTCTTGAAAAACTGGAAAATATCAATGCTGGCTTCTTTTGCTAAATAGCAGGTGTGGCTGCAGTGGTCAGTGGCCTTGAGACAGGCGTGCGCTCTTCGGCTGCGTCCTCACCACTCCCCTGCTTTCGCCTCCTTTCCTTCCATAGCACTTTTTCTCGTTCGCTCTGATTATTCGTCGCTGAGTGCTTCTCAGACTTCAGGCTCAGTCCGTTCCGGTATCCTGTGGGTCCTGACCAGCACCCCGGATGCCCATGGCTGCTGCTCCAAGGACCACATTTTAAGTAGGAACAATGTAGACAATTTGAATTCTCAATCGGCCATTGCAAGTTTAAAGGAATATTGCTGTTTTGTTTTGTTTTTTTGTCATTTTGACTGCAGAGGATTGGAATATATTACTTGCTATTTTATTTTCTCTTTAATACTGATCATTTTTCTAAATGTTTTCTTTTTAAAAGCAAGCTGGATGCGATCATGTTTTAAACTCAAAAGCCCGGCGAGATAAGTGTGGAGTTTGTGGTGGTGATAATTCTTCATGCAAAACTGTGGCGGGAACGTTTAATACTGTACATTATGGTAAGGCTGCTTCCCGGAGCCAGGAGGGTGGGAGACTGAAGAGTGTCTGCCTCAGCAGTAGGTGGAAGTGTGGACGCCGAGCAGGCGTTGTGTCCCTGTCTGGCAGTGGGGATTGTGTGTCCGCTCTGAAGAGGGCTGACCTCTACTCTGTCCCCTCCAGGTTACAATGCCGTGGTCCGAATCCCAGCTGGTGCTACCAATATAGATGTGCGGCAGCACAGTTTCTCAGGGAAGTCAGAGGATGACAACTACCTGGGTGAGTCGGGTGCCCCGCCCTCTGCCTGCGGCCCGCTGAGCCACCGTTCACTGCCCCTTCTCCTCTCTGGCCTGCAGTGAGCTCTCCGTTGTCAGGACGCTCACAGACGTTGATGCTGAAATCATGGTTTCATTTCACTTTCACAGCTGCGCCCTGAGACTGGAGGGTTATGCTGTCGCAGCATTCAGTGGCAAGGGGATTCACTCTGTGATTCACAGAGCAGAAGGCACCAAGTCACCTTTTTCAGTACTCATCGATCAGCATGGTCGCTGGGCTCATCAGAAAGCCTGTCTGCTCCCGGCTGACTTGGGGATGTTTCCTCAGAGGCGTGGCTAGGCTTGGTTCTCCAGTTTCCAGGTCTCCCCAGGAGCAGCCCCAGGCAGGCCTCCTGAGTATTTCCTTAGACAGGTCCTTCTGAAGAGTCTGTGTTCACACTTTTCTCAAGTCATTACTGGAGTGGCCTCCTCTGTATTATGCGCATTCTCCATCTTTCCGTCTGGATTAATTCCTGTCTAACCCTTATTTTTAATCACATGAATAACTCATATCTGTTCCTCACGTTCGAACCACGACACCCTTGTTGATTTTTAGCTGTTTGCCTAGCCCAGTCTCACTTTGGTGTGTTATTTTCTAAACTGCCAGAGTGACCCAAAGTTTGTCCATCTGCCCTTTGCAGGAAGGACGTGGCACTGTGGGAAGGATGGGCAGGGGCACAGCTCGTCCCCTGGCACACACCTGTCCTCCCCGTGAGTCCTGGCCAGGGCCAGTACTCAGGCCAAGAGGAAGTCGGCAGTCTTGTCGAGCAGTCAGTCTTTGAAGAAACTGATGCCCTTTCCCTCTCAAAGTGTCTAGTGGGAGCTTGGTTTGCCCATCTGAACTTAACCCCAGCATTTGGACTCCGAGGTGGTGGTGGGTGTTGGTCACATCTGGGCCTCTGCCTGCACCCTGAAGTGTCCACATGACCTCAGGCATTGACAGTGACCTTTAGCCACTGGTGCTGACCAGCTGTAGTCATGCATGGCTCCATGATGATGTTTTCTGCTGTACGTTTCCATTCTTTCACTTATTTAATGTGCACTGCCATTGTGGTAGGCACAGTGAACAAAAAAGACAAAAAATAATGAAAAATCTGTCTTCTCAGTACCATCACCACCCCTTTTGGTACTGGGGATTAAACCCACAGCCTTCACAGCTGAGCTTCCCCAGCCCTCTTTTTTATTTTGGCCAGGTCTCATTGAGTCATTAAATTGCCCAGACTGTGCTCAAACTTATGATCAGCTGCCCAGTGGCTGGGATTATAGGCATGAACTACCAGCTCGCATAATACTTTTTCATGGGAGGAGAGAAACAGTTATTTAACAAGCAAACTCTGTCCTGTTAGGAAGTGATAAGTAGCATTGGAAATCAGAACGGAGTGAAGGAAGTTAGGATACCAAGGATGGAATGGGAACAGTGGAGTCGAAATGTTGGGAATAAGAGAAAGAATAATCACAACAGGCAGAGGCAGTTGTTGTCACCAAGTCTTTGAGAGGAGCATGTCTCGATTGAAGAGCTGAGGGAGGCCAGGTGGCCGTCGCTGTGTGAGCCTAGTGGACATTCTGAGATGCCCTCCAGCTGGTAGGACAGATCCCGCGCCCATTGTGAGGACTTGGCTTACGTGCTGAGGGACACGGGCGCTTCTGCAGCCCTGCGTCCGGGAAGGACTCACTCCACGCAGCTGTGCTTGTGTTTGGGAGGAGAGTTAGGGCACCACATCACGCACGGGTGACGGGGAAGAGGTGGGGCAGGCAGCAGTGCTGCTCGGACATCACTGAGATCCCAGGGAGATGCTGGTGGCTGGCGCCAGTGGGTCGGGCCGTGGCAGTGTATGGCAGATTCACAAATCGTTGGTGACGGAAGTGCATCTGGTGCATAAAGAAAGAGAGCAGCCCGGGCTGTTTGGGAGTGAAAGAGCATCAAAGCCTCCACGGTTTTGACCCGAGCAGCGGAAAGGGCATTGTGGTCCACAAGTGCAGACTGGACACCTCCATGTGCCTGCTGGTGCTTTAAGATCAGGGCTCTATACCTTTGTGCCTTCAGCCCCTGGTACAGGCCCTGTGCGTATCAGCGCCAAGGGAGTGATTGCTGGGCTGTTGAGCAGGCTGCTCGTGCTGTCATGGCTAAGAACCTACTGTGTGCATCGCCAAGTTGCCTTGGGGATACAGATTTGTCCCTTCTTTCGAAGGCCAAGCAGTCTCACTTGTAATTCACTGCTCCGTGGCTGTCTCAGCTTTTCGTAATCCTAAACATCCAAGGGAGTGCAAGTTCATGAGAACTTAGCAGGGCTGGGGTGGTGCCCATGTCAGTGTGTGCATAGCCTTCACAGGGCCCTGGATTCGTCTCAGCACCACAAACAGAAGACTTGAAATAAAATTAGTGTAGTTCCTAGGGACCATTTTCTCATTGCTTGGGTGGAGCCCACACTTCACATTTCACACTGTATGAAACAGGTCAAACATTGTACCCATGTACTTGGTTATAAATCTGAGCATGTGTTTGTGTGGCCTGACTACTTCTTGATTCAATCAGTCATCACTGCATGCCGTCTTTGTAAATGAATGTCTGAGAGCTGGGAGCCGCCTCGAGTTGTGCTCTTTTTTACAAAAGGAGAAGGATTCACTTCTGTTCTCTTTGGGGGGAAAAAAATCTCCCTCCAGGTAGTCGCTTTAATTCATTTCAACTTAATCAGGCTGTGTCAGGTATCTGGATTCAGGGACGGCCCCTGATAACCTTTTATTCTCCCCTGGAAGTTTCTTAATCTCCTTGTAAGGAATGAAAACATTTGTCATCTGGGCCAGGTGGTCTGGGCCTTGCATGGCTCTTGCCTGGAGTATTATGGGAAAGTCACCTGTCAGCCTAACACAGTCTCTCTGGCAGCGAATGCAGCATGTACGCAAGCGTGCAGAGCAAGTCACAGTCCTTGGAGGGGGCACCTTGAGTGCGAAAGCAGTTCCTTGGGAGGTTAGAATGTGGCGTCCTCGAGTGTGGGGTGTCAGTGTTCACCCTGCGCCTGAAGGAAGGTGCCGCAAAGTGCTGAGGGGCCTGCACCCGTCCTGGAACCAGCGCTGGATCGCTGTCTCCTCCGGTGGCTTGTAAATCCTGGCCGTGCTCTTCCGGTGCGTTTGCCGAGGAGCCAGAGAGGCCTCCACAGAGCCCGGTTGGCGGGGTGCCGTGGGAGGGAAAGCGGCCCAGGGAATTAGCTCCCTAATCGTGTTAGCAGGGGACTGAGCAGGAGGCTCTCATTTCAGGAAACTATTTCATGAGGTTCCGGAGCACAAAGTCTTCCTGCTGTCCGAGTCTCCTCCCTCCCAGTGGGCTCCAGCCCAGTTGTCCCACAGCCACCACGTTCCATCTCTTTTGGAGAAGTGCCCCTTTCTGTGATACTTATTTGTCTCCGGAGCACCTAACCCCTGACTCATTGTGACAGTGGGAAGGTAGGAATGGATTCAGGGAAGAAGGAATTTCCTTGCATCTGGTGACTTTATAGATGCCTGGGGCTAAACCCTGGGAGGAGCCTCGCCCCGTGCACTCCCTTGCACTCCGTTTCCAGCTCCCCACCTTTAAGTGGGGGAAGGAGCTCAGGGAGGAAGAGGCAGAGTCAGCATAAGCCTGAGCAGAGCTGGAGCAGACCCCAGAACAAGCCCAGAAGAGGCCTGTGAATCTGAACAAAACCGGACCTTCCTTAGGTTTACAGGTCTGCATGTAACATTTTGTTCCCCCAGCTGGGTTGCTAGCATGCAGCTAGCAGACCTTGGAAGAGCCGGGTGGTTTTGTTGACAGCATGTACAGCCTGGGGCTTCCAGAGGCCTTGGAAACAACCTTGTCTCCCTTTGGTACCCAGTAAGCTCCGCGTAGAGAATGGCTGTGCGTCTCACACACAGGATATGCGGGCAGGACAGGACAGGACAGGGTTGTCCCTGGTTTACATGGCCTGGGAAGCCATTCGGGTGGAAGCCCTCTGTTCCCCTTCGCAGGACTGAGCTTTAACCAGTCGCTCAGCCTCAACCTCATCAAATGAGCACCCACTAGGGGCCCAGGGTCGGTCTTGGGTTTACAAACAAAAGTAAACTTTTAAATGATTTCTTTGCTAAAAGCCTCTTGCAGTCTAGCAAAGGAAGTCTTTAAATTTGTGCAGCTCTGGAACCTAAACATATTTGTAAACAGAAGAATGCATGAGCTCCTTCTTTCATCTAGCGAATGTTTGCTGAGTCCCTTGGAAAATGTTAGCAGCGAACAAGCTCTAGAGACAGATTTTCACAATCAGAAGACATCTGGCCTGGGAAAATTAATTTAAATCTTTAAATTATGCTGTTTTCAATCATAACATAGGCATCTTTACTGGACCCAACCTCAGAGAGGTGTGGTAAGGAAACACTGGTCTGGACAGGGTGGGCACACACACGGAGAGGAACCCACTGGGAGGAGTGACTTTCTTAACATGAAAGTAGAAGTTTATAGTAAATGCTCAAGGAAAAGGATGTAATTGGGATTTTATCTTGAGAAAATAATCCAAAAGTACGAAGATCAGTGTATTTTGTGTTAAATTCAGTTTCAATTTTGATCCTGCCAAAGTTTTTAAAATGGCTCATAAAATCATGAAATAGTTTTACGTACATTTTCCAAGTGAGTTGTGTGGTAGGAAAGTGGTACCTTCTTAGGTTGAAGTATGAATTCAAAACCTGAATTCTGAAACTTGGAAAGGGAGCTTCTAGAGAGGTTTCTGTGGCTTTATTACCTTAGAGGTCTTGAGCCTTTTATATGTAAATTACTCCTTGGAAGCTGCTGTTGTCTCCTCCTCCATGCCAAATTTCTTTCCCTTTGATTTTTTTTCACTTTTAGTGAGGTATATTTAACAACTGAAAACTGTGTATATTTAAGGTGTGCAGATTAACGTTTTGCTGCACCGATACATTGCAAAATACTCACTACACCCAGAACCTTGGCTTACCCGCCTCTGGAGTAGTTGCCATATCCTTACGTTGTGTGAGAGAGCGTGCACAGTGAGAACACCTCAGGTCTGCTCTCCTGCCAGGCAGGTGCGGTACAGAGTACTCCGCCCTGGGACTCCCCGTTTATCTTCCGTGACTGAGTCACGCTTCCCCCCGTTCCCATCCGTCCAGCCTCTGGTGACCGTCGTTTCCAATTCTAGGAGCTTTGCTATTTTAGACTCGATAATTCATCTCCTTTTGTCAGGTCTTCATTTGACCAATGGCTTCACACTTGCTTCAAGCGTTTTTCCAACATCTCTGTTCACCTTCGTTGATTCTTTCATCTGTTGTTGGAAGATTTACAGCAGATTCATTCCGTCTTAAGAACTAAAGGTGTGTACTGAGCGTCTACCCCGCACTCCTGAAGAAACAGATGCAGTTGTGGGAGAAGCAGCACCAGCTTTACCTCAGGATGTGGTGGCTTAGAGTGGCGGATGTGTGCCTCAGTTTCTCCATCTGGGATTTGGGAGTCTGGGTGTGAGCTCTGGTGTGAGGCCACCATGCTCTTGGCAGTCAGGGCGGTGGTGTCATCCAGAGGCTGGACTGGAGCTGCGGGACCCAGTTCCTAATGATGAACACAGAAGCTTTGGGTAAAAGCCTCGGTTCCTCTCCCCTGGCTGCCAAGGCCTCTTCGTGGCATCTTCCCAGCCTGGCTACTGGCCCTGCTTTCCACAGCCAGAGATGAGGGGGAACAAGTGGAGCCTTCACTCTGGAGGGGGAGGGCGCCCCCATCGTGTTGTCAGCACCCTGGTGGCGTCACTGTCAACCTCTCCAGGGTGGGAGGCGAGGACACAGCCGGATGGCAGGGAAGCTTCGTGGGTCATTGCTGAGACCCACAGTGGCCTCGCAGGGAGGTGACAGACGAGCATCAGATTGACGGTGTAGTTTCAGATTCAGCACCAGCCGAGGAAGTCTTGACAGAGTCTCAGTAGTTTAGCTAATTGTGATACGTACAGCTATACGTGTTTATATGGGGACCGGTTGTGGGAGAAGTCTGTTCTTTGGTACACATTTTCAAATCAAAATGCTCTTGCTTGCACGTGTAATCCTGCAGTGTGGGCTGTAACAAATGCCCAGCTCACAGCCAGTAACACTGTATCACGATGACTTAGCTCGCACAGCACTGTCTGTCTCTCTGCTTTACAAGTAGAGCTGGAGACGGAGATGGAAAGTGATAGCTGGTAAGGGCAAACCAAGAGTGAGCTCCCGCTTGCTGGACTCGAAAGTCCCTGCGCCTTCGCCCTCTGCCTGTCACAGCGTCCTCCACTCTACACCGGCAGGTCCCTGGCAGCCGATCAGCAGGGTCTTTTCTCATCCGCAGCTTTGTCAAACAGTAAAGGTGAATTCTTGCTGAACGGGGACTTCGTTGTCACAATGTCCAAAAGGGAAATCCGTGTTGGGAACGCGATGATTGAGTACAGCGGGTCTGACAACGTAGTGGAAAGAATTAACTCCACTGACCGCATGGACCAAGAGCTTCTGCTTCAGGTAGAAACCTGGCCACGAGCCATCTTCCTCTCCCTGCTGCCGGGATGCAGTCCGCAGACCTCTCTCCCTCCTATCCCTGCTCCCAGGTCCTGTCAGTGGGGAAGTTATACAACCCCGACGTGCGCTACTCGTTCAACGTCCCGATCGAAGGCAGACTGCAGCAGTTCTACTGGAACAGCCATGGGCCCTGGCAGGCCTGCAGCAAGCCCTGCCAAGGTACCCACCTGGAGGTGTAGTTCGGGGATGGGGGAGCTTTTTAGCTTTCTTTTTCTTTCTTTCCTTTTTGAGGACAGCCACCTAGATGGAATCTGTACACTTTCCACCTGCATGATCCCCTGATGTCCTTCTTTGACCCTGTCTGGTCATTTGGGGCTGGCAAGTCGAACTTGTTAAGGGGTTTAGGAGATGCTAACTTTCCTCATCCTAAGAGCTTTGCGCTCATGTGTGAAGCCAAGCAGAATCAGCTCCACCATTTTAATTTCCCAGAGATGTGGCTTTAGCCATCACGTTCTGGGATCTTTATTTGGTTTCCTTTAATTAAATTACAGTCAGCAAATGATAGCCAGGGGCCGGAGTCCAGCCTGCCACCACTTCTACAAAGTTTGAGTGAAACCCAGTAGCCTGGCACCTACCTGTGTAAATGAAGTGTCACTGAAACACAGCTGCTCCGGCGTGTTACGTGTTACAGCTGTTGTCTGTGATGTCATAGTTGAGAAGTGTGATGGATATCCAGTGCCAACAAAACAGAAAACACATACTACCCAGCCTTTATAGTATATGTTGCCAGTGCTTGGTCTAAATAATCTGTGGAATAGGTTCTTTTCTCTGAATAATTTCTGCCTCCTCTGTTTAGGGGAGCGGAAACGAAAGCCTGTTTGCACCAGGGAATCTGACCAGCTTCCTGTTTCTGATCAAAGATGTGATCGGCTGCCTCAGCCAGAACCCATCACAGAGGCCTGCAGCACAGACTGTGACCTGAGGTGAGGCGAGGCTTTCCTGACCCTCGCTCAGGGGAAGGGTCTGCAGGTGCAGCTCCGTCCGCAGGAGGGCGCTGATTTTCACTGCCCTTCCTTCCATGTCCACATGAAGTGTGGACTTCAGCCAGCTCTCCGCGCCTCTGGAATTATCAGCCAACACACGCTGTGTGTTTCTTATTCTCCTAAGAATCAAAAATGGCTCATTAGAGTATGGCACTCGCCAGAAGACATTCTTGTCCAGACTGTACAGCTCAGTGGGTAGGGTCAGCCTCATGATCAAGTTGTATCTTACGTGACAGTGTGGTTTGAAAGCCAGCAGAGAAGGGGAAACCAGATCCCTGTGTGCACCCATAATGTTTTGTATCCATCCAGAGTGCACAGCAGCCAGGCACACAGAAGTTGCAGGGCACTAGGTTACACTCACGGAAATAACAGAAGGAAATCTGTATGTGAATCCCTAGAGAGCCAAGCAATTCTGTATGTAGGAGAAGCATGGAGTCTGGAGCCGGAGGTACCGAGTGGGTGCTTTTCCACTGCCTGCAAGGTTGACTGTGCCATGGTTAGGTGCTGTGAAAGCTGTGTGAAGGCAACGGCAAGGTGTGGCACTGCTCTGTCCATCTACAGAAGAGAGCCCGTCAGCACAGTGGCAGGGAGTGGGAGCGACCCCTAAGCAGTGCAGAGGTGCTGCCTGTAGTGCTGGAGCAGCGATCATCAGGCCCCTGAGGCGCTCTGAGAACAGAAGAGTGCTGGGATCCATTAGTCATGTCTGCTGTGGGAGTCGAGGTGGCAGTTTTAACACTTGTGCCACAGCTCTGCCAGCCCTCCCCGAGGCTCTGGCTCAAAACCAGCACCTGTCTACCCACCACCCTTCCTCTGCCCACTGTCACTGACCTGCTTGCTCTCTAGTTTGCCAAAAAGTCATTTAAGTTGGCATTTTCATTGTAAGACTGCTAAGTCATTGTTAAATTGACAATTTCGTCGTCAAATTGACAAAAAGTCAGTGTTTAAACAAAAAAACGAGACATTAAAAGATAAACGTTCATACTGACAGACACTGGGCATCATTTTCATTCTAGGTAGTGTACGTGCAAATCCATCTGCTTAAACCAGTTAAGTTAAATTAGAACTAAAGGTTCTTTCAGAAAAAATAATTAATGGGTAAAATAAATTAAGTTTAATGGAATGAAACTGAACTGGTTAATATGTTCCTTGAGATACCCTTCCTAAATTGAGAAAGGTGGCATTTTCAGATTAGATGTATATATCCACTCAGGATTGTGTCTTCCACTACCATGAAAGTAGTGATCGAGCCAGCCATTGTCTAAGATTTTAAGATTTTAACAGTTATGTATCATCTTTTTAGCATTCTCGTACTAATAGGATAGCTCATACATATA